TAGATGTGTGGTCAATCTATCAATATTTTACATCAACAATAACCCTAAGCAAACATAATATTCTATAAATTTGTTGCAATTTTTATCCACTTTCACATTAGGGTTTATTTATGTTATTATTGTTAAACTACATCATCTGAACACAATTCACGTCAAACTCATACTAGGGTTTTAACGAGGAAGTAAATTGCAAAACTCTAATAATATTTTGGGTGTCTCAAAGTTTGAAGTTTGAACCTCAGACTTTTTTTTTATGGAATGTAACACGTCAACCAGTAAACTCTCACTTGGAAGTCATGGCTGTGACAAATCATGGTTTGGGTGGGATATACGTGTTGAGCAAACTTCATAAGAAAATGACAAAAATCAGGAATGAGAGAGGCAATAAAAGAAAGCATCACGAAACACGAATGAGAGCAAGATAATAACCCATAAAAATCAAGGTAATTAATTACACTTTACCCATGCCATATGAATTTGGATGGGTTAAAATACATTGTTACAAAACGGAACCAATCCAATATATAGTATTTTTTTTAGATCTTTTATGAAGAAAAAAAAATACTAAGGTAACTTAAAATTGGTTTACTTTGAATGTTAAACAACCACAATATGTTCCAAAACGGCACAATGAAGGATGACTTTTAGCGTCATCAAATACGTATCTTACAAAATAGACACCTTTTCATAATACACTGATAAATTAATAAACAAACTATTACAAGATTTTAGGTTGGGCATCATTTTTACAATCGGATATAGTTGTTGAGGGATGAATCTTCTTGAATAAAGTCGGGAAGCAGCCAATAGTCATAGAAGCATCATCATGATCATTGTCGAGTATGCTTTGTTTGGTTGTAATATGTGCATTGGAAGTTGTTGTCTTCTTCATCTTTTCCTGATGATGTTTCCTCATAACATAAGCTTCAGCAAGGGCAGAAGTGGCAATTGACATTTTAAGGCAATGAAACAAGAGAAGTATAATGAATTGAAAGGGGATATATTGGGAGAGGGGTATTTATAGGAAATGTTGGGTGGGTCCAAAAGTCAAACTTTGATAACTCCATTTCACTTTTCTTGAGAAACAAGAATAAAAAAACAATTTGACGTCATCGTATACGTTGTTTTACAAAAGGTATTCCAACTTTATGGCTGTAAAAAGTAAAAACATCAAAATCGAACTTGAACACCCACAAGTCTTGATTTTATCCAATCAGTTTTTTTTTTAGAATAAGAAATTCCACAAAAACAAAATGAATATTAAAAAAAAATGCATTTTTTTTAAACGGCAAATTAGCTAACGTACTCTTAAATATCAAATATGTCTTTTAAGAAACTTAAACTCATAACTTATCATTTAAAAAAGTCACATTTACCGTTAGCCCAAAAGATCATTCGGTAAAAAAAAAAGCAGCATAATAAAAATATGTGATTACTAAACAATGATTGTTGACAAATTATTTGTCGTTAATTGGATAACTTTTGACTTTATATTTTTTTTAACAGTGAATATTATAAAAAAATGACTAGCAGGGAGCTCGACCACAAAAAAGTACAAGAAACAAAAG